AGGAAGGAAGGAAGGAAGGAAGGAAGGAAGGAAGGAAGGAAGGAAGGAAGGAAAATCATACTGTATTGCTTTTGCAGAAGAAGCAAGTTCGATTCCAAGCACCCAACAACATTGGGTGGCTCACAGCTGCCTGTAACTCCAGCTCCAGGAGGATCTAATACCTTCTTCTGGACTCCTTAAGCACCTGCACTCACAGAAACACCCATTTAAAATTAATTAAACAAATCTTTAAAAAATAATAATTCAAAGTCATTCTCAGCTACACATCAAATTCAAGGTCATTTTGGGCCACATAAGACTCTCAAAACAATATTAAACAGGTTGGAGACATGGCTCATCGGTTAAGAACATTGGTTGCTCTTCTAGAGAACTCAGGCTTGATTCCCAGCATCCACAAGCTGGCTAACAGCTCTCTGTAACCCAATACCGTCTTTTATGCTCTGTGGAAACCATACACAAATAAGATGTATAGATAAACATATAAACAAAATATCAGCACACGTAAAATAAAACAAACAACACAATAAATTAAATGACCCGGGCGTGGAATATACATCTTTATCCTGATACTTGGGAGGCAGAAGCAGGTGGCTTTCTGTGAACTGGATGGAGGTCAGCCTTAGTCTACATACCAAGTTTCCAAGCTAGCCTCCTAGGACTTAGTGAGACTCTGTTTCAAGAACAGAAAAGAAAAATTAAACGAGACATACAGATAGGCAGACAGTCAGGACAAGAGACAGACAGACAGAGGGGAAACAGAGAGAAGTTCAAAACTACTCTCAGCACATAAATTCTACCCATACATATAACCTCTGAAAATGACCTCTTAATGGGAATGAAGTCTTAAAGTAGTCAGGTTATGCTGATGAATTTCAATGTCAAACTATATGAAAGACGGTATGGAATTCTTGTTGTTCTTTCTAGCTCTAACATCTGTAAGACACTGTCTCCATGGGTATTTCCTTCCAATGCCGAGTCACTCAGAGGATGAGGTCACCGTGGTACTATTGATCTTGCTCACTAGGGCAGTTTCCACGCACAGAAACCGAATGAAAGGGCATAAAACCAAGGTGCAAAATGTAACTGGATGCCAGTTTTAGAGAAATTTTAGAAGCATCTCATTTGCAGTGTGGCAGGAATCCCAGCTTATAGCTGACACGGGTTTGTCGCTCCGTGGCCAAGCAGGCCTGGGCATGTCTGGTGACCTGCTGAGGCAAGACTGAGGCACACTGGCTGACGAGGGTGGAGGCTGCTTCCTAGAACAGGACTCACTTTAGTGAAGAGAGAACGAGAGAAGCTGTGTAAAAAAGACTTAGTCACACGATGGAGAGTCATAAATGGAGCTTGGGGTAGCTGTGACTCAAATCTGTCTCAAGTCTAGGCCCATGAAAACCCGTCGGGGTCTCTAAAGGAAACGGAACTCATAAGAGCTGTTTCGCAGAAAGCCTGGAACACTGAGCACCGCAGCCCACTCCAGGTTTCCGTTAATAGTGCTGCTCAACACAGCCACGGCGATCTCCATTTCTCCAGAGGACATCCTGGCGTTGCCTGTTTGGTTTGTCTTTCAAATTCTGGCAGGCAGAGTTGGTGCCTGAAACAGCAGAGTCAAGTGTTCGAAGGCAGTGGGATGGACTGTGAGGTGCGAGAGGTAGAAGCAGTGACCCCATTAGTACCGTGCTTGGTGTGTTTGAGTAAGGGGCCTAAACTAATACATTTTACAAAGTGACGCACCACTAGACAACTGATAATTAGGAATGTGAGAGATTTAAGGTCACAAAGAGAACATCATTACACTGAAGGGACCAGACAAGGCAACCAGTCTTGATCAAGAGGGTGTGCACATGAGACTGAACACACAGCGACAGGAAGTGCGCTTGGATTCTAACTGAGGTGATGGCTCCGTGTCTCCCCCTTGGCTGGGCTCCCACCTTACAATTGTATTCAATTGGCTAGTCTGGGAAGAATCATCGCCCAGGAAATTGAGGAAGAGGGTCACTGCTTCAAGGAGAAAAAGGTCACTGCTCCAGGCTATCAAGTTCCTAGAATAGAGCTGTAGGCCTTTATTTAAACTAAGGTTTATTGGGTGGGGAGGATTAAAATATTTGCATAAAATTTTTAGAAGGTGGGGGGGGCAGAAAAAAAGATTTGAGTTTCCTCTGCTCACTAATCGCTAATGTTCAACAGAGCAAGTGGCACATACACTGCTTCTATGCTTTATTTCAGTCCAGTTCTGGTAATTTTAGTGTACAATCCAAGACATTCCTGATCTATCTAGAAGAATGACTTCGAAAGTTAGTGTTCGAGGCTAGCGCCTGACAGCATAGATGCGTTTATAAACCATAGTGTCCTGTACTGTGTATCATTATTTTAATTTTTGCTTTCCCTTGAGGCAACTTTTTTTTTTTTGAGTATGTTTCCTTCCATTGGCGAGACACTTTGGGTGTTAACACATTACATGTGATAGTATGTATCCAAAGGCTGCAGCTATACTACTGAGATAGTTGTGTTGTAGGCAGTTACCTTGTGGCCCACACTAGTTGGCCTCAAAGTTGCAACAATCTTTCTAGCCTCATACTTGAGAGCTGTGATATTTTGGTAGGCTACATGTTGTTATTTTTATTCATTTTTTATTAGGGCAGTGAATTCTAGAAACATGATAGTACTCTACCTATAGGGACTCTCTCTCTCTCTCTCCCTCCTTCCTTCCCTCTCTCTCCCTCTCTTCCTCTCTCACTCTGTGTGTGTGTCCAGAGCTACTAAGAATGCCTAAGACTGCTTTCCCACTCCAGAACACCAGAAGTGCCCCTCCAGAAGTCAGGGTCCTCACAAAGGAAAGGGACTCTAGCCTGAAGATAGGAGAGAGCCTTTCACTAGTTTGAGTAGTAATCTATCCTTTCAGACTCTCTTCTTCTTCACACCCCGGCTTTCTCTTTTTTTGAGGCAGGGTTTCACTGAGTTCTCACTGGCCCGACTAGAACTCACTATGTAGATCAGGCTGGCCTTGGGATCTCAGAGACCCTCCCGCTTAGGCCACCCGAGGGCCTGGATTAAAGGGCACGCCTATTTTAGGTCAGGTACTTGTGTGCAGCACCCACGTGACTGGGAGGGAGAAGGGGTCAGAGCTTCTGGAGTTAGACAGTTGTGAGCCGCCATGTGGGTGCTGGCAGCCGATCGCTGGGTCCTCTGGAAGAGCGGTTAGAGCCCTCAACGGCCGAGCCAGCGCTACACCCCACCAAGAACTCAGCTTGCCACAGCTTCACCCCAGATTTTATTAGAGGCTCCAGGACTAGAAACTGCGAGGATCTTGAGCCCAAACGCTGCCAGCTTCGTCTGAGCTGCCCTCCTTGGGTCGTTGGGACATCGGGACAGGTAAGCAGGCCCGGCTGAGAGTGGGGCCTATGCCTCCGTGGTGTGGACACCGGCGCGGTGCCTCAAAAAAAAAAAAAACTATTTCTTTAACTTTCTGCACATTTCTGTGGCCTGTCTTTTGAGTATGGCAAGCGATCAGAAGGCCAGACACTTGCTCCACTTATGGCTCCCTTCAACAGGACACCTTCCCACACACTCTCTGAGCGGATGGTTTTCTCTAGAGAAGTACAGGGCTGTAAAAAATCCCCACTGGCTTCGGGTTTCGAGGGCTTGTGCCGCCTCCACCCGGAGCGGGAAGGCGTGGGAAGGCCGAGAGAAACTCTTGAGGGGCCGGGCTGCCCGGGGTGGGAGGAGTGGCTGCCGCGGGCCGCCGCGCAGGCGCGCTGCCTCCTCCGCCTGAGTGCGCGCGTTCCGGCGCGTGTCCCCGCGCGGGCTCCGTAGCGCGTGTGCAGCCTGACGCAGCCCCGCGGGCCCTCCTCCCGCTCTGCGGCGGCCGCGAGGAGTTTGGGGCGTGCGGGCGCGGGGGGGCGGGGGCGAGGCGGCGCGCCGCGAGAGGAGGCGGCGGCGAGAGGAGGCGGAGGAGCAGCAGGCGCCGCCATGGCCGCCGCGCTCACCGACATGGCCGACCTGGAGGAGCTCTCCCGCCTCAGCCCGCTGTCCCCCGGCAGCCCCGGGCCCGCGGCGCGCGGCCGGGCCGAGCCTCCGGAGGAAGAGGAGGAGGAGGACGACGAGGAGGCGGAGGCAGAGGCGGTGGCCGCGCTGCTGTTGAACGGCGGAGCGGGCGGCGGCGCGGGGGGCGGCGAGGCGGAGACCATGTCGGAGCCGAGCCCGGAGAGCGCCAGCCAGGCGGGCGGGGACGAGGACGAGGACGACGAGGACGACGAGGACGAGGGCAGTAGCAGCGGCGGCGCCGAGGAGGAGAGCAGCGCCGAGAGCTTGGTGGGCAGCAGCAGCGGCGGCTGCAGCGGCGACGAGACGCGCTCGCTCAGCCCGGGCGCGGCGAGCAGCAGCAGCGGCGATGGGGACGGGAAGGAGGGCCTGGAGGAGCCCAAGGGACCTCGGGGCGGCCCGGGCGGCCCCGGCAGCGGCGGCGGTAGCAGCAGCAGTAGCGTGGTGTCGAGCGGCGGCGACGAGGGCTACGGCACCGGGGGAGGCGGGAGCAGCGCGACCTCCGGGGGCCGGCGGGGCAGCCTGGAGATGTCGTCCGACGGGGAGCCGCTGAGCCGCATGGACTCGGAGGACAGGTCAGTGCGCCGCCAAGGGGACTCTTCCCGGACCCCGTCGAGGGGACTCAGGGGACACCTTCCCGACTCGAGGGGACTCTGTGTGGATCCCGTCTAGGGGACTCCTCTCGGACCCCGCCGAAGGGACCCAGGGGACTCCCCTTGGATCCTGTCTAGGGGACGCCTCTCCTCTTGGACCCCGTTGAGTTGACTTCCTTGCCCGATCCCCTCCCACCTCCTGGACCCGTGGCCCAGCCGGGGGACCTGGCAGCGGTCCCCTTGCTCTGTGTAGACTCCTGGGCTCCGCCGAGGGGACCAAGGGGACTTCCTCGCTGCCGCAGTCCTTTCCGTTCCTTGCCTCTCCTTCCCAGCCCCGCCCGCCCACTCGCCTTGGGAACGTCCTCCCAGGATCTCCCCTGCCCCCGACTCTGGGACCCCAGACCCGGGGGACTTTCCGCGATCTCCCGCCCCCTGATTCTCGGCCCCTCCCCCCAGATCTCAACTTGGAAATCCCGGGCGGCCGCCGCGCCCCTCTCTCGCCACTGAGCGGCTTCCAACTCCTCACCATCCCCCTCAACTCTCCTTTCCCCACCCTCCCCTCGGCGCGCGGTTCTCCTTTCGGACCGAAGGACGACTCTATCCAGGAGACAGTACCCCCAAAGCGGCCCAGACGCTCCAGCCGAACTCCAGAGGCCCTTGATGTACACCTCGGTACACAAGGTTAGCTTCGTGCATCGGCGTTCGGGAACACTTGTCAGAACTGAAATTGACAAGTGTTTTCCAATATGGCTGGTCGCCTGGCTCTCACAGAACTAACTTGTGCAGGGAGGAGACCCCCAACCCTGGCTTTGCTTTACTTTAAAAAAGGACTGTTGGTCCTTTATGTGTAATCACTGCTTCTCAGATCCCTCACGTATGTCAGTCATATTCTCAGGGCATTTGAGTTTGGGTCATAAAATCTGAGCGACCAAGTTTATTTAAAACACAGACCATTGTGGAAAGAAACACTGAATTTGAATTGATATCCTTCATAGTAAGTTTGCCGAATCGTAAAGAATTGGAAGTCACAAGGTACATCCATTATGGTTAAAAAATTAGGATGTGGCTTAAAAAACCGGCATTATACAGTGACACTTTGATGTGGGAGTCCCATCCCTCTTGGTGATTTCTTTTTTAAAGTCTCGAATCGGGGAGGTGTCTGGAGGAATTGTCGCTGTTCTAGAGCATGTTCTAGATAGGACATTTAAGAAATGTATGTCTTGGTAGCTGCTCTAATTTTTGGTTGCTTGTAAAATTTCATAATTGAAGTCGATTTTTAATGTACTTCCAAAAGAATCTCATGCGTAATATGTTCTTAAAATACATTAGCGTTTACTTTTGACCGTCTGCTAGTGTTTTGATGATTACAATTTATTTATAGTGATTTCTCTCCGTTGGTTGTATTTTGGGGAGGTGTCTGCCTAATAATATAACCCAGCTGCCCTTACTTGAGAATTCAGCCTTACCTACCTTAGCCTCTAGATAGAGTTGACACCCACCACTATCCCTGGATTTTGATTTGATTTTAAGTTAAAGCATTCTGAGGCCTTTAGGAATTCTGGTTCCCAACAAAGATGAACATGTTACTAGTTAGTGATAAGGGAAAGTCTGAAAAAAAAAAAGAAGAAAAAAAACCTCAAGAGTTCTTTTTGACACTTTAAAACTGAGATAAGTAAATACTTGTTCTTTTTCCTCCAACATTCTTTACGACAGGGTTTCTTTCACTTTATAGCCCAGGCTGGTCTGGGATTTACAGAAATCCTCAGCCTCCCAAATGCAGCATCCACCATATATCTACCACAAGAAATGTTCTTGGGTGGATGTAAAACAGACTGCTCCTTAGGAAACATTGTGCTAAACTGTAGATGTGGTCGGGAAGGGCCGTGGAGCAGCCTATCTGGGGGCTACTGTGCTGTTGGAAGCTGTTACTCTGCTCAGTTAAAGCCTTGTCTGCCCTTGAGAAACACTAGTTGATTCTAACTACACAATGAAGCGTGTGCTATTACTCATTGCAGTGTATGTTTCATTGACGACAGCCTCCCAGCTCTTCTGCCTAGTGTGCACGTGTGCACATCCATGTTTGACATTTCTGCACTTCATCCTCGTGTATGGTGCGCAAGAGGGGTTATTTTAACTTCCGTTAAGAAGATGGAAACAAATTGAGTGTCTCCCTGAAAACCACATTTGTGGAGATGCAGCTGGGTGTGAAACAAAGCTCACACCTCCATTACTCAGAAGACTTGGAATAGTTCACTTGATTTCATTCTTCAGGAAGGAGGAGGAGGAGATGGAGGGTGTTTAGGAGGTTGGCTGGTCACATTGTGGCCATGCTGTGAGATCGAGCATGGGAAGAGCCTGTGGGTTTCTTCTTTTTTTTTCCTTGTCTTTTTTTGGGGAGGTGAGGGTCATTCAGTCTCTATGTAGTTCTGGCTGTCTTGTAACTCTGTGTAGACCAGGCTGTCCTCAAACTTTGATCCTTAGGCAGATCGATCTGCCTTTTTCTGCTGGACAACAGAGAGAGCTGTGACTGTTCACACCTGCAGTTAGTTAGACCTTTGAGATGCTTCTTGGGGAGCTGTCCACACTATGGTTTGGGGGAGGGGGTCAAGTACATGGTGACAGGAAGATATGGCTGCAGTGGTTTACAGCTCTGGCCTAGAATAATTCACTTGAAATAATAAGTGTTATTTGTCCTAGAGTTGTCCCTACCTCCACCCTCTTCATTACTTACTTTCAGGGGGCAATGAATTTCTGGTTAAACAATAGTTAAGTAATTAGGTTTCATTTGATATTGGATATCCAATTTTGACATAATGAAGGGTAATATTGGTATCAAGTCCAGATAAGGTTAAAACAGTCAAGCATGCTTGCTTCCTTTTACCTTTAATTTATTAACATTTGTTTACTGGTGTATGTGTGTATACCAGGTGCACTACAAAGTTTAAGGGGGACTCGACAGTTCTCTCCATCTTGTATGATCTGTGGGAATCAAACTCAGGGCAGCTGGCTTTCCAGGAAATGCAGTTACCTGCTGAGCCACCTCACTGCCCATTCTTGCTTTCTTAATGCCTTTAAACATTGGCAGCTGAAAAAAACGCTAATTGTGGTGATCATTTCAGGGCAGTAGCTTTTTTACCCGTGTGAAGAATCCTTACTAGCAGAAATTGGATTGTAGCCTTGATGGTTTTGAAATACCTCTTGTTGGCTTTGAGTTTTATGATTCTGAGTTAGATTAAGTTTGGAAAAGAGCCTTTTTTTTTTTTTTTTTTTTTGACAGAGTCTGACTCTGGTTTAGACTGGCCTGGCATTCGCTATAAGCTAGGCTAGCCTCAAACTCATGGCAGCCTTCAGTCTCCTGAATGTTGGGATTACGGGTGTGAACTATCATGCTGCTTAGGATCCAGAATGAATTCTTGAGCTTACCTTTAGAGGGCACCGATCTGTGGATTCATAGTTGGTTTCATGAGTTGTAAGGTTTGTAGTTAATTGATGAAGATCTAGCAGCTTAAAGTCCTTGACAAGGTTGAGGCGTTCCTGTGACAGCAGCATCCTTACCTTATCGTCTGAACTTTCTCTGTTGGAATGGTCAGGTTTTGAAAACATTTAGAAAAGCTGTGGTGGCACATGCCTTTAATCCCAGCAGTCTGGAGGCAGAGGCAGTAGCCTGGTCTACAGAGCACAAATTGCAGGACAACCAGGGTTGAAACAAGAACCCTGTCTTAAAGGAAAAAAGAAAATATGTTAAACGATTGAGTTAGAAAACAATAGAAAAACAATTAACTAGAGATGCCTAGATATTAGAATTTGATTTAATGATGTCCTTTACAAACATACATTAGACTTTTTTTTAAAGATTTATTTATTTATTATATATGAATATACTGTAGCTGTCTTCAGACACACCAGAAGAGGGCATCAGATCTCATTACAGATGGTTGTGAGCCACCATGTGGTTGCTGGGATTTGAACTCAGGACCTCTGGAAGTGCAGTCAGTGCTCTTAACCACTGAGCCATCTCTCCAGCCCCGACATTTTTGTTTTTGAAAGATTCTTTCATATGTAGTTATGTGTATATCTGCACTTGAGGATACAAGTGATTTCAGAGATCAGGGGCATTGAGTCCCCTTAGAGCAGCAGTGAGCTTCCTGTGGTGGGTTCTGGGAACCAAACTTTGGTCTTCCGAAGAGTAATGTTTGCCTGTGGATTAACATGAGTTATTTCTCCAGCCTTACATAGAAGTATTGTAGTGTATTGTAAGTGACTAATTTCTAAATTGATTAAATGATATGTTGTACAAAATGGTTGAGAAATAGGTTAAAGCATATTTAGTAGTATTTTAAAGATTGTGGTTGTGTGTGTTTAGAGTGTGAGTGTAGCGCCTGATACGTAAGATTTGGGGGGGTGAGGGTTGGAAGATAGGGTGACAACATATTTTCCACATGATCCATCATGTATGTTGACTTTAGACTTTTAATTCTACAGTAGACTTTTGCCATAGCACCTATCAAGTCATTTTATTATATTAAGACTGGGTCTGTGTAGTCTGGCTAGCATAGAACTCCTGATCCTTGTAACACAACATGATTTCCAAAGTGTTAGGATTACAGGCAAGTCTTTCCACACCTAGCTCAGCAAACTTGATTAATTAAAAGTGAAGAATGTTAGATTTTATACTTCACCTGTCATTTGTTAATGGTGGAAGCCGGAGTGAAGAATTGGTAGTCATGCAGTGAACCACGATGCCAATTCATCATGGACCATTCATGCAGTGTGGCAGGAGCTTGGACTCTGGGTAGTTCATATGGCATCAATGTGGACTGGTTGGTTCTCCTAGAGATGATCTAAGAAGGAGTGAAAGGGAAGCCCAGAGCTCTCTGAGCTAGATACTGCCCCTCCATCTGATAGATGTTTCTTTGTTTACTTCTGTGTGGGTGTTTTGTATGCACTTACGTTTGTACCACATGTGTGCTTGGTGCCATTGG